AAAGGGTCCAAGTGCTGATATGGGCAATACTCGGCCCCAGTTGCCCCAGAGGACACATTGGTCTATTCACTCACTTGGCCTTTTTGGTATTGTCCGGAGAGCGCTTGTGAAAATCGTTGAAATCAGACGATCATTTACACGAAATTCTTTACCACAACCGTAAGTATTTGTTGAGGAAAACCCTTCATACATGGCCCCCACTCAAAAGAAGCATACGTATGAGCGGATTCAATGATCGAACAAGGGTTGTTTCGGATGGAATCAGAGGGTCGCATGCCATGTCTTTCAGCATATTAATCTCTAGGTGCACGCATCCCACTGCTCAAGTGCACATGCCTCGAAGGACGTGTGGGATCTATAGCCATCAGGGTCCAGCTGATCATGACTCTAGCTCGGATCAGGGTGGTGTGAATGCTAGCTGTTTAAAAGTTGGTTCGACTGCATGCTAGCTGTAGACGTGTCTAATATTATATATAGTATCGGCTGTGCAATAATTCATGCATTTTTTGGAACGATGCCTGGCTTCACCGGCATGCTCTACCACGTGCACAAGAAGCGGCGGGAAGGTGCTTCCCTTCCCTGTGCAATTGCTGCAGTGCAGGATTACTAATGGTGAGTGGCATGCCAGCTGTGATCTGATGCATTGGCCCTGCAGGCTTCGCTGTCCAAATGTGCACCATGAGGTCTTTCAATACGCCGATGTACTGGTACAGAGCAGCTTCCCAACCGTAAACCCTAAACGCTACAGCCATCTGTATATGGCATGTATATGGACTTTTTACAAATATGTACAGTGTGGTGCACCGTAGAGCAGCTTTCCAACCGTAAACCCTCAACCTGTAGATCGACTAGCTGAAGTGTGCACACAGGGTTTTTCTTAGCATCCAGCCATGCCGGCACAGGCAAAGGCAGATGCTAATGCCCCTGCCAAGTTTCGGCAGATGGACAGCGAGCGAGTGCACAATGGGGTTACCCAGAAGGGGGTTCAAGTGTTGCAGCCGCTTCGTTTCTTCGTTCCGGATTCTTGTCTTCATTATCTAGACGAGGGTGCTCGCTGGTGTCGATTTTCGGGTATCCTTTTGTATCTGGATGTAATTTGTTGAGGAGGATGCCATGAAAGTGGTGGATGTGTTGCGACCTGCTGTAGAAGCTCGACTTGCGGATATCAAGGCCTCCTCAGATGCTGGGATAGCAGATGATATGGCCAGCTGTTGACTTGTGTCTCCGTTTGTCCTTTGTTTGATTGATTAGTACACTAGTTATACAGCTTGTACAAGGACCGGCCTGTGGTGACGGTCTACGACGCGACAATGGGCCAGCAGGATCTGATCGATCCGGCGAACTTTGCCATAATGAAGAGATATGTTCCGATGCTCCTTACTGGCACGACTTTGCCAAACCCCAAGATCCTGTCGTGCAAAGACCACCGAGTTGGGGCCTCAAACAATTAATCATCAAGGGCTGCTAGGGCTTGTGGGCACATCTATTTTACGTAACGTCTAATATAATGCTTGAGGCAGCGATGCTGTACGTTGGGTCGGCCTATGGGTTCTGGAGCCAGGCCTTTGTTTCCGCGAGAGGAAACAAAGGCAAAATGAAGGTCGCCCATTGCTGTGGACATTGCATTTGATTTTTTATGAACATGATAGTGCTGGACAGGACTGGAGTGCCCTGCAAGGGACGCGGCTACGCTGGCTAGTCTCATATCTTTGCAAGGTCATCTACAGAACCCCCTTCGCCAGGACAATTCGCTCTCAATAAAGCTTCTAGTCAGCGAGATTGCAATCGAAGCCTAGTCTCGTTGTGACTGAATACAGTTGGCAGGACTCCGGAGGTCACGATATTGAAGACAATCTTTTACAAGGTCAACAACATGAGCCTCCCGACAAGGAAACCGAGCTCGAGTTCTGTAGACTCCGAGGCAGTTGGTGCTGGGCTGCTGGGTTTGTGTGTTTCAAATTTGAGCTCGATCTGGGCAGGTGCCATCGGAAATCGTATCTGATGTTGAGTTTGATGAGGAGGACGAGGATTGTCCTAGTATTTCTGCAGACTGCTCTAGTTATAGGTATAGCAACGTGGAAGGAGATCATCGATGATGACCTCGAGATCTGCAGTGTGCAGAGCGAGCCCCATGGCGATGATGGCGGCGACCTGCCCGTGACTGTAGATGTGAGTGATGATGAAGGGGAGGCGGGGGCTGGCAAGCAGTTCAATAGGATGCATCGTTTGGGGGTTATAGGCTGAAAGTCGAGCAGGCTGAAGCCCCACGGCACGCTGAGCTGAGCATGGAGGCCAACAGTGCAATCATATATTGCATGTGGTAGTGTGTTGATGTGCTAGTCTGTGTACATGTAATCTATAACCATGGTTTCTGTAATCCGAGGTGCCGAGCGCCGACGATGGGATGCTGGTGGACGCAGCTTTTCAGCAGTAGTGGGTTACATATTAATTCTATTTTTGCAAAAACCCAAAGGGTCCAAGTACCATTATAGTAGGTACTCAGTAGGTATTTGGGCCGAAAAATATATATGCCAGTACTTGGACCCTTTGGGAAAGTGTGTGTGTATACATAAACATGTGTTTGTGTGACTCCCAAACCCTACACCCTAAACCCTCAAACCCTGAACCTTAAACCCTAAACCCTAAACCCTAAACCCAATAGTCCTAGCCCACCTAAGGTCTTGTTAAGTATCCCCGAGGAGTAAACCTATAGGTCCGATAGCTGCACTCCTTGACCGTTCGCTGTGAGCTAGAGCCAGGGATCGCTTGCCCAAGCCCAAGAGCCCGAGCAGAGCAAGCTGGACACTCCGGTGCAGGCATGTCAATGCATTTATTGGTAATCAGAAGTTTAGCAACCCCGAGCCCAAGCCCGAAGCCAAGGAGACTTTGGATCTCGATGCCAACCGTGCTGCAGATCATCACAGCGAGGTGCAGCCTCAGTTGTAGGGGTACTTCGGGGGTGTGTTGCACAGGATTCGGGTAAGGGGTTGGTGGTCCGGATATACTGTACGTAGTCCCGCATGTGGGATAGGCGAGCCCTCGGATTCTGCAAGGCCATGAACGACGTGCAGGCCATGATTATGGAAATCGACACGCCTTTGCAGGCACGCTTGTTTGATTTGTGGAGTTCGACATGTAGCACTCATATTATAACATCATACCTACCAGCACCAGTAGTACTGTAGCTGCCCATACACAGGTAGCCGTTTATCTATTTCCCAAAGGATCCTAAGTGCCCATAGGCTTTATATTCGGAATTGGGGTTTAGGGTTTAGGGGGTTTCGACCACGTATTAGGCATAGTTACTGTATAGCTTGGCCAAGTATCCCCGACATATAATATAAGTATCCCCGACATATAATATAAAGCAGTATATCCCAAAGGGTCCAAGTACCACTATAGCAGGTACTTAGTAGGTATTTGGGCCCCCAAAATATAGACTATATTAGTGCTTGGACCCTTTGGGTATGGCAAGTACGTCGGTCGCTTTGGGTTTAAGGGCGGCAGATTCATTCTGTATGCATATAAGAGAGAGAGAGAGCGAGAGAGAGAGAGAGAGAGTCTCCAGAGCCGACGGCCCTTCTGCTTCTGCTCCGTCTTCTACTCATGAACCATAAACCCTTTGTCCTGAACCTAAGCTTGTAGGATCCTGACTATACCGAGCCCTGCAGAGGCACCACCTGACTTGCAAAGGGAGCCGTAGGAAAAATGCAAGGGCGTTCCCAAACCGTCAACCCAGCGACCGGCATGATCTCAAAAACATCGCTTTATAGTCTTTCTGATTCCTATCCCACTAGCCCTTCAGGAAGCACCCTCAAGCCCCAACCACCTCTGCCACACGCGCTGCCACCGAGAGTGCTGAGACTCGTCGCGGCTGCGTCACCAGTATCCTCTGCCATTCTAGGCACATACATTGTACTGAATCAGTCAATCAATCCAATCAATCAACCAATCAATCAATCAATCAATCAGGTTATTGTTTAACGGACAGTTCATAAACAACAAATAAGTAGATAAACAAGTTAGTATATGAATATTACATATATACATATATATATATATGTATATATATATATATATTCATATTCTGGTCGATCTATCTATTGCATATCGGTGCCTGGATGCTTCGGGATTGTGGACTTGATGAGTGGGTCTGCGGACGACACAAGGATCGCACCGCAGGTCATTGAGCAGTGGCAAAAGGTGTAGGGGCGAGTGTACATCCGGGTGAGGGTCAATGCGCAAACCTTGTTGAGAATCTTCGAAAACAGGGCCGTGAAACAGCTATTTTACACATAGGCGGTCCTAAAATCGGGGATGCTGTATCAGACCCTATTTACAACCTCCCATGCGAGGATGCGAGAATGAGGAAATGCAAGGTGGAAGCCCTAGTTAGGCTTCTCAGAAAACCAAGCCTCCAGTACCTAGAGCTATTTGGAAGAAGACTTCCGCATCATTCTGGGCCTCGGAAAGGAAGCTGCAGCTGAGGGTTTCAGGGCTTGGGGCTACGATACCTCCCAATGCAGGCCGGCTATGGGTAACTAAGTTGCTGAAAAAGGCATTGCGCCCCATCCGTGCATAGGTCATCCACAAACAAATCGGTCACTGGGGCTGTGATTTCTGAAGCATCCTACGTTTTTGACTCGTTCACCATCCGATTCGGTGGATCTACGCCAACTTGA